GTCCTAGACATATGTTTGAAATCTTTCAAGATTCAATGGCTATCACGCGATATAACCAACACCCAGATATTTTTCTTACCATGACTGCAAATCCTAATTGGCCAGAAATTATTTCAGCATTATTATCACATCAAAAACCTATTGATCGTCCTGATTTAATTGCCGCGTTTTTGAGTTGAAGAGAAAATGTTTGATGAAGGAGATAGAAACAAATGAAGTGTTTGGAAATAAAGTTGCACATGTTTTTACAATTGAATTTCAAAAATGAGGCCTCCCCCATATGCATGCACTTTTATTTCTTAAGGGTCCAGACAAAATTCGGACATGTGCTTAAGTAGATAAATTGGTCTGTGCAGAATTTCCAGACCCAAAAGATGATCCTATGCTTTTTGAAACTGTCTAATGTTGTATGGTACATGGACCATGCGGTGCTCGAAATCCGCATGCACCATATATGGAAAATGGTAGATGCAGTAAGAGATACCCTCGAGCTTTCATAGAAACAACAACTATGGATCAAGATGGATACCCTATCTACCGTCGTCGCAATAATGGTCAAGTACATACTGTGAGGGGGCAAGAAATTGATAACAGGGATGTCGTACCATACAATGCATATCTTCTTAAACTTTTCAACTGTCATATAAATGTGAAAGTTTACGCCAGAATGAGATGTGTTAAGTATATACATAAGTACATTTACAAGGGTTATGATCGTACAACGATGGTGTTGGAATCGATAAATGAGATTCAACAATATCTCGATGCAAGGTATATTGGACCTCCAAAAGCTGTTTGGCGAATATTTGGTCATCCTTTGCATGCAGAGATACCAACAGTTGTACGATTGGCACTTCATTTACCTGGAATGCATCGCGTTGTTTTTAACCCAGAAGAGTCATTAGAAACGATTCAATCTAGAGCTGGTCAACAAATGTCAACTCTTACTGGCTTCTTTGCATATTATGCTACCAGTGAAGATGAATGTCCATTCACTTATCAAGAATTTCCACAGAATTTTGTATGGCTCAAGTTAGAAAAAGATGGAAATCAAGAGAAAAGGGATATGCAATTGGTAGAATGTACTTTGCCAGTCCTAATTGTGGTGAAAGATTTTATCTGCATTTGTTACTAGCTGTTGTCAAAGGAAAGTTGTTTCAGTCTTTACACACGGTCGATAATGTTGTGCATGATACATTTAAATTAGCATGTGTTGCAAGGGGTCTTTTAGAAGATGATGAAGAATGGATACAATGCTTGAAAGAGGCTGCAGTTATGAAAACTGGATACCAATTGAGGAGATTGTTTAGTATTATTCTCACCCAGTACTCTCTACTAAATCCATGTGCATTATGGAATCAATCCTCAACGCATATATGTGATGATCTTGCACATAAGATTCGTACATTGTTTGCCATTTCTAACCCAACTAAGGCTCAAATTAAAGATTATGGTCTCCATCTTTTGAATCAAATGCTTCATGAATTAGGCAAATGTTTAATTGACTTCCAACCCATGCCACAACCTACTGCAAATTAGAGTGCAGTAGTTGGTAATCGATTGATATTCGAACATCAACAACTACAGAATAAGGCACAACAGGCAGATTCACAAATTACTATTGATTGCCTCAACAATGGACAACGGAATGCTTATAACACAATCACTTCTTCAATTTTTCAAAATAAAGGAATTGTTTTCTTTCTTAATGGGGGTGCTGGAACAGGGAAATCATTTCTGTACAATACGATTGCATTAAAATGTCGCAGCCTTGAGCATATCGTTGTTACTGTGGCTTCATCTGGAATTACATCATTGTTATTGGTAGGAGGTCGCACTGCACATTCAACATTTTCCATTCCGTTAGATGTCTTGAAAAATTCACTTTGTGTGTTTACCAAACAATCATTACAAGCTGAGTTGTTTAGAGAAACAAAACTCATAATTTGGGATGAATTTCCTATGTAACATAGACATTGTGTTGAGGCAGTTGATCATACATTAAGGGATATTCGTGATAGTGAAAAGTCATTTGGGGGTATTACTGTTGTTCTTGGTGGAAACTTTCGACAAATCTTACCAGTTATACCCAAAGGAATTCGTGAGCAAATTATGAATGCATCATTAAGACACTCTGTTATATGGAAGCATATACATATCTTAACTTTGGATTTGAATATGCGCTTGAATCATGGAGACCATGAAAATGCTATTTTTGCAAATTTCTTGATGGAGGTAACACTACTTTAACTTTTTTCTTTATTATATAGATTATTTTAAATTAATAAATTGTGTTTACACTCATATTTTTTTTAATTGATTTCGCTTTTTTTAGATTGGGACTAATCCTCAAGAAATCATCAACCTTCCATCAACAATACACAAATGTCAAGATTTGAATGAATTACTCTTTACAGTTTACCCACAGTTGAATATGATAGAGACGTCGACCCCAACATTTTTAACTGAACGCACCATTCTGTCTGCGCGTAATGATGATGTTAGTGACATTAATACTACTGCGTTGAATATCTTTCCAGGGAGATTATATACTTATTTTGCAGCAGATAAAATGTCTGAAGATAATGAAATTAATCCTACCATTACAAATAGATATCCTAATAAATATTTAAATTCATTGGATCCTCTTGGGCTACCAACTTTTAAGTTAGAGTTGAAAGTAAGTTGTCCTATAATATTGTTAAGAAATATTGCACCGAAAGATGGACTATGTAATGGTACAAGATTGATGGTTACTAGGTGCAACACTTGCATAATTGAAGCTCAAATTTTAACTGGAGAAAAAGTTTGGCAATTTGACATTCATACCAAGGATATCTTTGACACCATCTTCTTCAGAAATGCCTTTCCAAATGACAAGACGTCAATTTCCAGTCCGATTAGCATATGCCTTGACCATTAATAAATCTCAAGGACAACCTGTGAAATTTGTTGGGATTGATTTGCGTATACCAGTGTTTAGCCATGGCCAATTATATGTGGCATTGTCCAGATGTACATCCTTTGATCGTATAAGTATTCTCCTCCCTAAAGATAGTTTGGATTCTACTACAAATATTGTTTATCCTAAAGTGTTGTTGTAGTGTTCCATGCTCATTAAATCATGTTTTATCAAAAGGTAACCATGTAGATTTATTTCTATTGATATATATAGATTTTTTTTTATATAAAATTTCAATCTAACAATAATTGGAAATATGGATTTTTTTAGGATTGGATCGAAAAATTTATGGAGCTTAAAAGGAGAAATATAACTAGCTTGCTTCGATGGGGATGTAATAAGGTAATTTCAATCTCAAACTATTTTGATATGTATTGTGAGGGAGATTTATAAACTGGCTTTGGAACGTGGTAGAAGCCGGGCAGAGAGAGGTCCGAGCATGTTTAGGTCGAGCTAGCGTGGGCTTCTCCAGAGTTGGTTTGCTTGGTTGAGGCCCAGGTCCCACGTTTGGGCCGAGCTAACTTGGGCCTGTCTAGGTTAGGTTTGCTCGGTTGAGTCCCAGCTTCCAAGTTTGGGCCGAGCTAACTTGGCTAAGTTGATTGTTGGCCAACCCGAGTTACGTGGTTCACACATTTAGCTCGGCGGGAAGAGTCTTCTGAATGTTGGCTTAATCTGTTTGGAGCTCAGTCGTACTGGAATGCTACTGAGCTCGGTTGCGATGGAGCTCGGTGAGTGGCGCTGTCGGGCTTGTTACATAGCACGGTCATAGGAGGCCGAGGTGAGGTCGCCGGGTTGCCTCATTCCCACTAATGTTATCTGGCGGTTTAAGTAGGTGGTGCTTAGCTGGATTTGCGCTGACAGATGGGAGAGTAGCTCCACGTGTCAATAAGCGAATAGATGCAGAGATGAGTGCAAAAAGTATATAAGCATGACTGCGCCCCCTATGCTGGGGATGGAACATCATTTGGTGAGAGAAAACTTAATATTCATTCAGCTCTCTCTCTCTCCCTCTCTCTGAGTGTGTGCTAACTAGACCGTAGGAGGGGTTTTCCGGCAACACACTGCCAGGTAGCTCACCGCCGTTGTGTTTTCAGGTTGATCGGATAGACTCGGAACTTGGACGAAAGGAGTACGGACAACGACGAATATCTTCTCCCCATACAATTGGCGTCGTTTGTGGAAACCATTTGCAGACATAACCATGTCTTCCAAGCTCATCTGATCGCCTTCAATGGTGAACAACGACGAAATACCATTGTCTGCCCTCGACGGTGTTACCCCGGAATCAGCTAGACGGAGAGACGGACTCCCCGCTATTCCGAACATGGCGGACCTAGAGACTTCCCCAGGAGGACTCCCGAGAGATACACAAGATAAGCGCGCCAGAAGTTTTGGTCGCTCATGGAGCCCAGACGGACACCAGCGGCGAAGAGAATTGCATGCTCGACGTTTGGAGCACAAGTTAAGGGACCAAGACACTGTCATCCAGAGAATGGCGGCAGAGATGGAAGCTCTCAAACGATAGGTCAAAGGAAAGGGTGTAGCTGGAGTGGGAGACCACAGTGAGCGCATCCATCCCCGTCACTCAGGCAGCTAGAGCCAGCAGCACACGCCTTCCCTTTCTATCACCAGAAGCTATAGAGGTAGGGATTTAGACACTTCTGCAGAGAAGTCTAGCGCGCAAGATAGTACCTACCATCCCTCACGTCCGTCGACCACTTCGAGAAATTGCTACTCCGTCCGTTCAGAGGACTTAAGGGACATCTTGAAGGAGCGAGCTCGCCGACGGGAGGCTGAAAGGGTGCCGGCACTTTAGCGGTTATCTTACGGAGGTCACCATAGTGAGGAGGTTATGATGCCGCTGCCCCGTTTGGCCGTACCAGTTCCTTTGGACACTGACTTGGCGAGGCTGAACGCTTCCCCCTTCTCCCTTGAAATAGAGACCACGTCGCTCCTAACGAAATTTCACTAGCCCAAGTTTACACTTCATGATGGAAAAAGCGATCCGTATATGTATATAAGCCACTTCCGGCAAGTCATGGCTGGACACAGGCGTAATGATGCGCTTATGTGCCTTATTTTCCCTTCTAGTTTAGGCGAACTGGACTTGAAATGGTTTGAGAGACTCCCAGAAGAGAGCATCGAGAGGTGGCAGCAGTTGACGGAAGCATTCGTGACCCGTTTCAAAACTAACACCAAAACGCCAAAGGAAGTGGACTACCTTCTGAGTGTCAAGATGGAGTCGAGTGACACCCTTAAGGCATACAACTCTAGGTACTGGGAAACCTTCAACGCAATCCTAGATTGCCCGATCAACCTGGCAATCACCCAATATAAACGCGGTCTCTCGGTCGGGCATAGGCTGAAGGACTCGCTTACAATGAACCAGCCGGCGTCCATGGGGCAACTAATGCAACGCATCAATGAGCACCTCCGAGTAGAGGATGATGCAGCGACATCCACTGTGAAGACAAATCTGGTGGTAACAGACAAAAGGGCAGCTGACAAGGTGTACGCGGTCGGATATGAGACTAACAGTCCAAATGACTGCACTGGGAAATCTGACCGTAGATCGAATCATAGAAATCGGGGTAGAGGTCACCGCAATGACCGAGTGAAATATCCCCGTGATGACGCAACCGATGCAAACAGAAGGTTGAACGCTCGGACGGGCATCACCACGGTATTTAAGATTCCAATCTATCGCATGCTTGTGAAATCCGCGACGAGGATTACGTCCTGTTTCTTGCTAAATTAGGCGATGCGCAAAAGGGCTTCAATTTGCGGTATTGTTGCACATATCATAAGGAGCGTGGACACCGCACAGAGGACTGTTTGCCATTGAAGCAACACTTGGAGGAGTTAGTCGCAGCCGGTCACTTGGACCTTTACATTGATGGGGACGTTAGAGCCGCGCATCCCACTCTGGCTGATCCGAGTGGTTCGGATGACTTAGAGACACCTCCTCAAGGAGTGGTCAATGTGATCCACGACATAGTGGAACCGGCGCGGGTATGCGAGCTCTGAGGAATGATCAAAAAGGCAGAGCATATGAGGGAAATGTTGTCAGTCCAGCCCGCGATTAAAAGAGGGAAGACTGAGGAGAAAGATGTGATTAGCTTCTCAACTAGGGACCTAGAGCGCATTCAAACGCCGCACAACGACGCCCTAGTAGTCACCCTTCGCGTTAGAGACTTCGATGTCAAGCGCATCTTGATTGACCAAGGAAGCTCGGTGGAGATTATGTACTACGACGCGTTCAATCAACTCAAACTCCGGGATACAGACTTGGCTCCGGCAACTTCACCGCTAGTTGGTTTCAACTCACAACTGGAGTGGCCTATGGGAAAGGTAATCTTACCAGTCAAAGTCGGATCCGTTGTCAAGCAGGTGGAGTTCTGAGTATTGAAAGTGCCGTCCACATACAACCTGATCTTGGGTAGGGGATGGCTTCATGCCATGCAGGTGGTAGCGTTAACCTATCACCAGGTTATGAGATTCCCTTGGCTATGGGGGAAGTTGAGGAAATTTGGGGCGATCAAGTCATGTTGAAGCAATGTTTCGTGGCAGTGAACGGGAGTCGAGCTGCCAAAGGCTTCGTCTAAATGATTGAAGGTCCAGAAGACCAGGGTGTCCTTGATGATATGGGCGCTAAGGCCGAGGACAAGGCTGTTGAAGAATTAGTGGAAGTGCGGATCGATGCTAAAAGTCCAAACAAGTTCTTTTTGCTAGGGTTAAGCCTGACCGCCCAATAAAGAACCGAGATGGTAGATTTCTTGATGGCAAATATCAAAGTCTTTGCATGGACGCCGTATGACATGCCCGGCGTTGACCCAAGCTTTATTTGCCACCAACTCAATGTCTTCCCGGATGCACGCCCTGTCATTCAAAGAACGAGGAGATCGGCTCTTTATCACACCGAGGTAGTCGCGAATGAGGTAAGGAACCTCCTAGATGCACGGGCTATCTAGGAAGTGCACTACCTTCGATGGGTTTCAAACACGGTCGTAGTACCCAAAAAGAATGGAAAGTGGCGAGTTTGCGTTGAATACAAGACTGTCAATCGAGCTTGCCCTAAAGACAGCTTTCCTCTGCCCAGAATAGACCAGCTAGTGGATCTTACGGCCAGACATAACAGGCTCAGTTTCTTGGATGCCTATCGCGGTTATCATCAGATCGCCATGCATGGTCCTAACCGCGAGATAACCTCTTTTACCACCCCAAGGGGACTATTCTGCTATCGAGTCATGCCTTTTGGTTTGAAAAATGCTGGAGAAACTTTCCAAAGAATGGTGACCAAAATGTTCGCTCCTCTGCTAGGCCGGACGATGGAGGCTTATATCGATGACATGGTGGTCAAAAGCAGGCATCAGGCAGATCGCTTATCCGACCTAGCCGAGATGTTCGTCATTCTCAAACAGCACAAGCTATGCCTAAATGCGTCAAAGTATGCCTTCAGCGTGGGATCTGGGAAATTCCTAGGCTTCCTAGTCACAAACTGAGGCATCGAGGCGGACCCTACACAAACCAAAGCCATACAAGAATTGAAGCAGCCCAACTCGGCAAAGAACGTGCAGTATCTAGCTGGAATGGCCGCCGCGCTTAACCGATTCATAAGCTGGTCATCAGATCACTGCCGCCCTTTCTTTCGAGCCTTGAAGTCCAAGTTTTCATGGGACGAGGAGTGTGACAGGGCTTTGGCCGAGCTTAAGGCGTATTTGTCTTCTGCTCCATTACTGGTAACACCCAAACCCGGCGAAGAACTCTACCTTTATCAGGCAGTTTCTCAGCATGCAGTTAGTGCGGTGGTTGTCCGATTAGAAGGTATCCAGCATTTCCCTATCTTTTACGTGAGCAAAACCTTGTTGTCCGATTAGAAGGTATCCAGCATTTCCCTATCTTTTACGTGAGCAAAACCTTGTTACCGGTCGAGTCGAGGTACTTGCTGCTGGAAAAACTTGCTTTGGCGTTGATGATGGCCTCCAGGAAATTGGTACACTACTATCATGCTCACACCATCGTTGTGTTGACCGAATTCCCCCTCAAAGCCTTGTTCAAGCGGGCGAATTTCTCCGGCCGAATCCTGAAGTGGGCGGTCGAATTGGGACAATTTGACGTCAAGTTTCAACCCTGAACGGCCATAAAAGCACAAGCATTAGTAGATTTTGTTGCTGAATTCTCACTTGGAATTCACCAAGTATGCCCGGTGGATCTCACCGCGATAGCCGAGGGGGGGATTGAAGGCTTAATGGAAATTGCACAACAGGGCGATGTTGGCGACGCGACCAAACAGCTGAGCGACCGTGATCCCATCAACCTTCAAGCCTCTCAGGACCCCTTAAAGTGTTAAAAACTCTTCGTCGGTGAAATGTGAAAATTTTTTGTAGATGGAGCCTCAAATCATCATGGCGCTGGGCTGGGCATAGTTTTGATCTCGCCAGATGGTCTGACCATCGAACACTCTATCACACTCGGATTCTCTGCGTCAAACAATAAGGCTGAGTACGAGGCGCTATTGGCTGGGCTTAAGAGCGCGCTTCAGTTGCGTGAATCCGAGCTGATGGTTTACAGTGACTCCCAACTTGTTGTCAACCAAGTGTCCGGGGTCTACGAAGACAAAGACGACCTCTGGTAAGAGAACACATCAAGCGATTCCAGGCAATAAGGGTCCAACAAATTGGTCATGAAGAAAACGGCCGTGCGGATGAATTAGCCGGTCTAGCTTCCATGGTTGACAGAACATCTCCCAGTCCTCTTTTGATTGAGTTTCTTCCAAGGCCTAGTATTGAGAAACCCGAGCAGACAGAAGTACTCTTCACCGAGCTTGGCCCTTCTTGAACGGACCTTGTTATCCTCTTCTTGAAAGAACGGACCCTTCCGGCCGATAAAAAGGAAGTGCATAAAGTCCGGGTGAAGTCAGAGCGATTTTGGCTCTCTCTATCTGGCGCTTTATACAAGAAATCATTCACCGGTCTTTACCTCAAATGTGTACACCCAAACAGCGTGGAAGCTTTCCTGTACGAGATCCATGAAGGCATATGCGGAAGTCACATCGGGGGAAGATCTTTGGCCTACCGAGCTATCTCACAAGGATATTGGTGGCCATGCATGCAAGCAGACGCTAAAAAATATGTTAGAAAATGTGAGAAGTGCCAGAAGTTCGCCCACCAAATTCACCAGCCGGCCAGAGAACTTCATCCCCTCACAAGCCCTTGGCCTTTTGCGATGTGGGGGCTAGACATAGTGGGACCACTCCCAACGGCACCAGGAAATCGGAAGTTCTTCATTGTGGCTATGAATTACTTCATCAAATGGGTTGAAGCTGAGCCCTTAGCGACTATCAAGGAGAAAGACGTCAAACAGTTTGTCTGGTAGAATGTGGTAATGCAGTTTGGCATTCCAAAGATTCTGATTTCCGATAATGGCACCCAATTTGACAGGCGCTTATTCAGAGGATTTTGTGAGGAATTGAAGATCGAATTCTACATTTTCACTCTGGCTTACCCACAGTCCAATGGCCAAGCCGAAGCATCAAACAAGACTATTCTCGATGGGTTGAAGAAAAGACAAGAGAAAGCCAAAGGAAAATGGGCCGAGGAACTCTCAAGTGTCCTTTGGGCATATCGGACGACCCCGAGGCGATCCACCGGGAAAACCCCTTTTGCCCTAGCGTACGGCATGAAGGCGGTCATTCCATTAGAAATCGGCATGCCCACCATCCGCAGTGAAAATTTTGAGCCCGAGTTGAACTCTGAAACAGTCACCCTGGAATTGAACCTAGCTGATGAGCGCCGAGAAAAAGCTTTGATCCACATGGCCGCATACCAACAAGAATTGTCCAGGAAATACAACAAAACCGTGCACCCTAGACCATTTAAAGTGGGCGACTAGGTTTTAAGGAAGGTCATGGGCAACACACTGGTGACGGACGAAGGCAAGTTAGGGGCAAACTGGAAAGGGCCCTACAAGGTAACCGGTCTAACGGGCAAGGGGGGCATACCATTTAGAAGATTTGGACACTCTGGCTTACCCACAGTCCAATGGCCAAGCCGAAGCATCAAACAAGACTATTCTCGATGGGTTGAAGAAAAGACAAGAGAAAGCCAAAGGAAAATGGGCCGAGGAACTCTCAAGTGTCCTTTGGGCATATCGGACGACCCCGAGGCGATCCATCGGGAAAACCCCTTTTGCCCTAGCGTACGGCATGAAGGCGGTCATTCCATTAGAAATCGGCATGCCCACCATCTGCAGTGAAGATTTTGAGCCCGAGTTGAACTCTGAAACAATCACCCTGGAATTGAACCTAGCTGATGAGCGCCAAGAAAAAGCTTTGATCCACATGGCCGCATACCAACAAGAATTGTCCAGAAAATACAACAAAACCGTGCACCCTAGACCATTTAAAGTGGGCGACTGGGTTTTAAGGAAGGTCATGGGCAACACACTGGTGACGGACGAAGGCAAGCTAGGGGCAAACTGGGAAGGGCCCTACAAGGTAACCGGTCTAACGGGCAAGGGGGGCATACCATTTAGAAGATTTGGATGGCAAAGGCGTACCCCGACCATGGAATGTGGCTAACCTCAAACTGTACTATTTTTTGTATTTGTCGTTCTTATGTAATTTTTTGATGAAGGATTTGTTTTTCCTACACTTCCGAATGTAATACTCTTTTTGTCAATATAATAGAAATGAATTATCTTTGCTGAAGCAGTTTGCTGTTTTCGGGGCCTACTCTTGCGTTTTAGCCGAGATGATTTACCCCGGCTAACAGAGTTGGTGATTTGCCAAACTCAAGGGTTCCAGTCGAGATGATTTACACCGGCTGAAAGAGTTGATGATTTACTCAACTTTGAGGTTTCAGCCAAGATGATTTACTCCGGCTAAATGTCTTTTTGTCAATATAATAGAAATGAATTATCTTTGCTGAAGCAGTTTGCTGTTTTCGGGGCCTACTCTTGCGTTTTAGCCGAGATGATTTACCCCGGCTAACAGAGTTGGTGATTTGCCAAACTCAAGGGTTCCAGTCGAGATGATTTACACCGGCTAAAAGAGTTGATGATTTACTCAACTCTGAGGTTTCAGCCAAGATGATTTACTCGGGCTAAATGAGTTGATGATTTACTCAACTCTGTGGCTTCAGCCGAGATGATTTACTCCGGCTAAATGAGTTGATGATTTACTCAACTCTAAGGTTTTAGCCGAGATGATTTACTCCGGCTAAATGAGTTGATGATTTACTCAACTCTGAGGTTTCAGCTGAGATGAGTTTCCCTGGCTAAATGAGTTGATGATTTACTCAACTCTGTGGCTTCAGCCGAGATGATTTACTCCGGCTAAATGAGTTGATGATTTACTCAACTCTGTGGCTTCAGTCGAGATGATTTACTCCGGCTAAATGAGTTGATGATTTATTCAACTTTGAGGTTTCAGCCGAGATGAGTTACCCCGGCTAAATGATTTGATGATTTACTCAAGGTTTTAGCCGAGATGCTTTATCCCGGCTAAAGGAGTTGGTGATTTGCCCAACTCAAAGGCTCTAGCCGAGGTGCTTTACCTTGGCTAAATGAGCTGATGTTTTGCTTAGGTTAAAGGTTCCTGCCGAGA